GAAATTAAAATTCAAATTTAGATTTCAGGTGGTATTGAACATGTACGGTAATCGTTCTCCTATTGTACCTAGTGATTCTTTAGTTTTAGTTTCAACTCAGTTTCTCAGTAAAACCTAAGATACGTAGTTCGGAAACGCATTCCTTAAAGATATCGAAACAATAACACGAATGAATGGTTAAAAGTAGCTTGGAAACCGGCCATTAGATAGTTTAAGTTCTTAGTTTTTTTATTGTACATTCGTAACATTACCCTATTTTTACCATTTTACTGAAAATATTCAACTTGTCGTTTTATTTCATAGTTAGTTTTTATATCTTATTGAAACCTGGTATGGTATTTTTTAGTTGATTTTACAGACTTTAAAATCGAAGTAATGTTAATATTAAAACTAACCTTCTTACTTTGATTTTATTCTACATTAGAGTTAATTTCTTAAGTTCTGGTTTTGGAGTTTTCTAGTTACTTAATCTCTGTATCGTAGTTGGAATGATTTTGATAAAAATGCGCTTTTTGCGATAGAATGGAGCCGGTCATGTAATTGCTGGCTCCACGCCAACGTAATCCCAAAGGAATTTGTAATATCAAGCTTGACGAATATGATATAGGTTAAGTTTAAAGGTTAACTTAGTATTAAACTTTGACTTCAACTTAAACTAAAGTTTTAAAGATATTGTTGTTTAAATAAATAACCTATTTATTACCATCTAAATAAAATAGATAAAAACAAATCAACGAAACTTTTGAATGTGTTTTGTAGGGGACGTTTTTGATAACTCTTCTTCTCTTCTAATTTCTGTTAACAGTGGTAGTGCCCGTTTTAACATCTTAGCACGAATGTGCCGGTACGCCCGGTGTAATATCACGACCACACAGAAAACAGGCGTGAAATGGAAGCAATTTCGTGTTTCGTCTGATGAGTGTGGTGCCGGAGGCCTAATTTAAGTCCCTTTCTCTTTACCACCCTTTTCTTATAAGGAGAGGATGGGAACGGGAAGTGGATTTGACGGTAGAGGAGATGCATAAGAAGGGGAAATATCCTCTTTATGTGCGTCTGCTTCTCTGTCGGATAAGGGTAGGCAACGCATCTGCAATTGCGGATGTCTATGGGCATCGGTCGCTTCGCCATTTTGGTGGCCGCCTACCCGTTTGCCACCTTATGTTATAAAAAAATATTTTGTCTATTGTTGTGTTGTTATGGTTAAAATTCCGCCATTATCAATATGTTTTTCAAGTTTTAATTTTCGTATATAAGCAAATCTCCGCTTTCTGACGATGGAGGAAAACCTCGTGATGTAACCTGCACATATCGGCAAAGTTTAGACGTTTGAAATCACCGGAGTGGGCCAGCATGGTTTATAGTCATTTATTAATCAACTAGCTGTTCCCATGCGACTTCATCCGTATAGAATTATAAAAAAATATTTTATTGTTCACATTTGTCAAATTATCAATTGCAAATGTCAAAATGACATGACATGATGTCAAACTATGGCAACCTTGCTTCCTTGATGTTGCAACTTATGGTCTCTTTCCCACATTAGGGTTTTTATCCAAAAATTTACCCCCTAAGTTTAATGGCGTGGAAATATATAGTCTAAAGCGTGAGGTAAGTGTAGGACTTTTTATTAAAAATAGAATTATTCAAAAATATGTCGTAATTGCTGACATCTTAGGCAACAAAGAAGTGTGTGTTTACGCTTTATTATAATTGTATAGATGTAAAATGTAAATAAATTTGTAACACCTAAAATTACCTTTTTCGTGACTAACTCGGAAAATTTATGTAAGTGTTTCGTTTAAAAAAAATGTCGACCGTTTCGCTCCATTCCCGCCATATCTTTTGTTCTTAAGTAAGCTTTCTCACCTGTGAACCTTTTCTCGAGGAGTGGAGTCTCTTATAAAAATAATTTCCAGCGCCGCTCGTGTACTGAAATTGTTTTCTTCTTTATTTGACCTACATTTTTAACAACAAACATCAGCTTTTATTTGCTGTACTTGGGCTTATTTTTAGTATACGTAAATTGTAATTTTAAATGTAACTCAGTTACTAATTAAACTTTATTACCAGGTTAAATAAAACAAAAATAAAAAAATACTTTTTAATTCTGTTAGGTTCAAAACTAGTATTCAATCCAAGAGATTGATCCTGAAATTTAATTAGTGTAAAACAAATGAAAATCGTCAATAAAAACTACAGATTGAAAATGCCTTTAATAAATAAAGATAGAATACTGAATCCGGCCGTGGACAACTGAATGACTTTCATAATTCGATTATCAGCATATAGTGTTGTTTGAGATTGTTTTAATCCTATTTTATGTTTATTGGGGCGGGTCTTATTGCCATTATGATAGCATTTGACAGTATCTGAATGTACACGGAAATAACATCAATTTGGACACCGGCCAGCGCCGCTCGCCCCCAAATGTGTATTGATTTCTATATGAGAAGGAAATTTGACGAAAATTTCGTTTCACAAGGGACTAGTTATTATACTTTATTTAGGTTTAATGTTGCTTGAGGTCTAAGACTCGCGGGTCTTGGGATCCACGATCGATGGAAAACAAAATTGTAGGCTCGTGTAAACAATAATCATGAAATAAATTAAACCCTATTACATTCTTTAAAAAAAAAATAACTAAGGTTCATACGCAAACTTTCTTCGGAATAAACGAATGAGGGTCTAGCAAAAGAGGTAAAATTTTGAAAGGGGTCCACGGGGAAAAAGTTTGGGAACCTCTATCCATGACGAGTAATTGGTAATAGGATGGGATGGTTGCGTTACACGGAATGTTTGAAGCTGTGGGTATTCATTTCTGGAAGCATTCTGTATTATTCTATTATGGTTAATCTGAATTACTAACATTTTTATAGATTTAAAAGACCCTATTATTTAAAAAGTGGGAAAGACGATTTCTATTTTCATGTTAAACTTTTTGTTTACCTTTATTCAGTTTTCCGAAAGATCAGAAGTTTTGGAGAGTTCCCAAAGAGGGTTTAACAGTCCATAAATTTCTAGAAGCAAAATAGCGGTAACAAAGAAATGATTTGTTGGAAATGTTTTGTGTTTAAAATGAAAAATATTCCATTTTTATTTCTAGATTTCCGCTAACTATTAAATAAGAATTTATGGAGATATTTTCTTTAAAATAGTAGCAACATTGAGATACTAGAATTTGTATTTATTAAAACTTTCTTAACTCAATGCACATTTAGTTTTTAATTACACGATTATCATGTAATGAAAAACTATAAAATAGACACTAATCATACTAATTATATAAATGTTTAAATTTAGATGGATGTATGGATGGATATATTTAGATGTATGGATATTTGTTAGACTTTATAAACCAAACAGCTGAATGGATTTCGTGAAATTTGGTGGATCTGTAGAGGACAGTCGAGAAGAACACACAAGCTATACGCGGACGGTGTCGCGCGCAAAATCTAGTAATGAATAAATAAATAATACCAAGCAAGAATTTTATCTATTTCGCAAGAAAATGTTTACACGAAATACTTATATTTCTTTCGACTGTATTGTTTATCCAAGCTGACTTATTTAATAAATTACAGCTCGGAACACTTAAACACAATATTCTTCAAAGCTATATTACCATAATGTTCCATAAATCACTTGGGAAATAGTTGTCTTTGCAAAAAATAACTATTACGCTTTCAACAAAACAATAGAGATATCCTGAATGTACACAAGAGACAAATTACTTCTTTTTTATTGTCTACTGATAAAAAATATCTAATAAGATACGACATGACATAAAGCTTTGCATTTTCCGGGATACAAGAATGGATTGTAACGAAACATACAAATGATATGTTGTCTCTTTCATTCTCTCTAAAAATGAGATAAGTGTGTGATTGGTTTTTGTTTTTAATTTTATAATGGTTAGGGAAATACTTAGTAAGCTATGTTGTCCAAATAGTCACATTGCTTTAAAATGCAGTGTAGGTATTTTCAAACTAACTAACTTTCATCCGCGAATGTGACTACGTGGAATAAAAAAACAAAAGAAATTAGCCTATGTGGTTTTCCAGACTATCCTCTACATCTATATCAAATTTCATCGAGATTCGTTGAGGCGTTTAAGCGAAAACTCTAACAAACATCCGTCCAAAACTTTACAATATTGGTAAGATAGAAAATGTTATTTTTATTCATAAACGAAAACAAAAACATGAGAAAGATTACAATCTTTGTTTGACAATTTTTTTGTTTTTGTAATAAAATATTTCATGCCAGGAATTGTAGAGTTTGTTTCGTTATCTGTCGGGAATCAACACGATGTGTATAAGATATGTTAGTAGCTCATTATTTTTGCTGTCGTTGTGTGTCAGAATATAGTAGAAGTATTTAGTTATTTAGTTGCCTGATTCGAAATTTGTAATTGATAAAAACTGATACCTTTGACTAAACTATTGCAACTGTTGTGCGATTGTCGATTGTTTCGCAGCCAATTCAACTGTTTGTTGGACAAGTAAGAATCGAGTAGTGTGCGCACATCCATATAAGCTAAGAATCAAAGCGGGACTAAACAGTTGTGCCATAGTTTTGACAAAAGTGTGCGTAAGTTGTTTAGGAGATAGCAGCGTAGATGTCTTCCCAAGGCAGAAGTTGTAGACTTAGAACATTATTTTTTTGTGATGAGAAATGAAATACACTTTTAATGATATCATTTGAATATTTATTTTGTAATGTCATTGGAAACAACAGAATGTCCTGCGGCGGCGAGGCGCTGGACTCGCGCGCCACGCCGCCGCGACAATAAATTCTATTACGCGTAAAAAAACAATCGTCAACATTCTATCATAAATCTTTTACATTATTTACAAATCCGACTAAACTGTATTTACACTAACGACTAAAGTTAAGTATGTATAACATACAGAAAGCGTTAAATTATTTTACAAGGAAGAGAGTAACAATGTCCATTAAAGAGCACAAGCTCAGTTATATACATAATAAACGTACTTCTGTTAGAATTTTTTATTACGAGCACGCCTGTGAGTGCCGAAGAGAATCCGCGCGAACGCCTGTCGGAAATCGGGGCTGAATATCGTGTAGATGACCGGATTAAGGGTAGAGTTGAAGTATCCGAGCCACAAGAAAAAACTAGCTAAGTAATCACTTATCACACAAGACTGGCATATAGGCATCACTAATGCCATAATGAAGAATGGCAGCCAGCAGAAGACGAAAGCTCCTGTGATGATTGCAAGCGTCTTCGCAGCTTTCCGCTCTCTTTTAGCTTCGAGGGACTCTTTCTTCTCCCTTTGAGATAAAGCAGGAACAATAGCTCTTTCGGGTTTCGAACCATTCGTTACTGTCGTAGAGGAAGACTTTTCTGGTGATACAGTTGAGGGAACTTTCTCGTTAATAGTAAATGCTGTCGTCCGAGGTTCTTCGTCCAACGTGTCTACTGTTGAAGTGCTTTGACCTTCTGTTAGTAGCAGCGCGGCCGCTATAGTCTCTGCTCGAGTACGTTGGTTGCATTTCTTGAGATTCAAAAAGCGCTTCTTTACAAATCGTCTGTCCCTCGCCGACTGCACTGGTCGGCCGGAGGGCGTAGCACCGTCAGCGGACGTCGGCCTGGGCGGTGGCGGTTCCCTCCTCCTTCTGATTCGTCTTCTAGCTGTTTGAAAGATCTTCCAGTATAGTATGAGGATAACAGCTAACGGTACGTAGAACGTAGAACACGTTGCGAAGATCTGGTATGCGAGGTCTTGGCTGACAAGACATTTTTGTTGCTGTGTAATCCTGGCGAGGTAGTCAGGGTCCTTCCAGCCCAGCTGTGGGGCGAGGGAGACTACGAGTGCGGCAGCCCATACGAGAAAGATCATAGTGAAGATTCTCTTTTCGTTTCTAATGTGGATGTAATCCACATCAGTTACTGCCCAATACCTAGAAAAATAGAAAATTAATAACACAATTGGCTACGAAAAAGTAATAAAAATAAATCAGTTTAAAATTCTACATCAACATTAACAAGTTACCTTGCAAAATGTTTCGTCTGAACCATTTCACAGAATGTAGTACATTTTACTTAAAGATGTTTAATTGATAAACCTGGTTCTTAGTATTAACATGAATGTAAATCAATTTGCAATCGAAACATAGTCGGCACTTCAGCGTAAACAGTGTTTACGTGCTTAAGCTAAGTAAACATGATTCATGTAAGCGTTGCAACTTAGTAGGTTAATATTGTCAAAGGTTCTTCAAGCAAATATGGTAATGTTTTGATATGATTTACTATGAGAAAGTGGTAAAGGAGGAGGAAAATTATTTTTTTTTATATTATAAGGTAGCAAACGAGCAAGCGACCAACTGAATCTGCCAAAATTGTGAAGCGACCACTGCCCATAGACATTCGCGATAGCAGATTAATAATAAGATAATCGACGTAGGAGAAGACGCACATAAAGAGAAAATGTCCTCCTCCTATGCGTTTCCTCCACCGTCAAATCTACGTTCCCTTTCCATCCTATTCTTATGAGAAAAAGGATGGGAAGGAAAAGGTACTATAGTTCCCACTTCATGCCTGTCTTCCGTGTTGTCGTGGTATTACATCGGGCGATCTGACCCATTCTTGCAAAGATGTTAAAGCGGGCTCTACCACTGTTAGTTTGAGATGTTATGCCATAAAGTAGGGGTTACTATTTGTATCTTACCTATCAGTAGCTATGGCGACTAGATGGAGTATTGAAGCGGAACTACAAAGGACATCGCTGGATGTCCACATATCACATAGTTCAGGACCTAGGATCCAACCCTGGCTGACCTGATGGAAAAATCAATTTAGATGAAGAATTAAATTTACAATTGTATTTCAGTTATTAAATAATTGAATTATTTGCTTTGTTGTAAAATATAACAGTAAAGTCAATTATTTCAAATCCAATTACAATACAGTTTCTATTGAAATGTTTACTCACACTCCAGTATCGCTAAGTGGTGGCATATTTGATGTGAATAGCGAATTATTCCATTGCTATTCATCAACGTTACACAATTATTGATATTATTTTAATTGCCGCTTGGCAATATACTATGCTAATATTAGTTTACTGAGTTGGGTAATAAATAAAGGAAAATCTTATTTTAGGAGACCATCAGTATTATTAATAATAAGAAGTACGGAAACTTCCTGATCAATGTATGATTTTTGTAAGCCTCTTGAGAGTAAAATAGACGCAATTTCATGCAATTATATTTGTGCTATTAAAAAGAAATTTTCTAAGAAAATCCCTTCCATGTATTTTTTTAAATTACAAGTTTTCGATCAACAAACATATTTCTTAAACAAGTTTTTGAAAAAGAAAATACTGTGCTTATTTCGCAGGTATCAAGGCATTTAAAAATATGTGACACACCTTTGATTAAACTATAGCACAATTGTTGTGCGACTGTCGATTGTTTCGCAGCCAATTCAACTGCTTAGTTGTACAACTAAAAATCGAGTAGTGTGCGCACCTGCATATAAGCTCATAGGAATCAAAGCGGGACTAAACAGTTGTGCGATAGTTTAGTTTCATGTGTGTGCACGCTCTAATTGTAACCTCGTATACAGCTCCAAGAGGCATGACGAGACATGCCACCATCAAGTCGGCGACAGCGAGCGAGGCGACCAGGTAATTGGCGACATTCTGAAGGTTTCTCTCTATTATTATTGCTGCTATCACGAACACATTACCTGCAACACAAGTTGTTATATATACTACTGTATAGGTATAATCATCTTTTGTTTTCTCAGATATTTTAAAGAATTGTTCCATAATTTTATAAATAAACCGTGAACATCAAGAAAGTAGAGATCAAGCCAAATTAGATTTAGCGTTTATCCTCCACGGTTAAACGCTCAATCCAATTTGTTCGTAGAATACATTAAGTAGGACGAAGAAATTTACGTTTGTTCCTAATAAATGCTTGAAATCTCCTCAGCTAACAATAACGACTTGACCTCACCGTGGGAGATTTCTCACTCGACTTCGTTGAGTATTCACTTAACTAAGCCACTCAAGTTTGCGGTTCAGATACTGAGGTTTATCGATTTTCTAGTTTGAATTAACTTGGAAATTCAATGGTTTAGTTTGTTTAGTGAATCACTGAATACGTAATAAAACGGCAGAAATTAAAAAGAGATTTTGTTTTGGATGTTTAAAAAGATAGATGTTAATAACTTTATGATGAATAATATGTGACAAAGAGAACTTTAGATGGAGGGATACACCGGTAGGCTAGGATATGTATATTCTGCGATATGGCTAAGAATGAAGAGACGACTAAAATAACAAAAAAAGAGACGGAAAACCTGATACACTGTAGGATAATAAATGAGACATTACAAGAAATTAGACTAGACAGATATAAGAACATTATGATCGATTTGAGAGTAAGATTTACTAACTGACATTGGAGATGTGACCACTAAAACAAGTGAACAAAGTTGGTGACTCACCGACAATAGTTGCTAAGATGATGAGCGCGAGCACCACGGATGTGACGGCCATGAGGACGAGCGAGGTGATGTCCGTATCGGTAACGTTACCGCTGGCGCCGCGCGTGTTGTTGCAGCCCCATGATACCGCGTCAGCCCACGAACAGTTACCACTGTACCAGTCCGACGTCGAGTACGTGACGTCATCTAGGAAAAATCAGAATACATAAATGTTACTAGCTATAACTAAGTTGCAAATATAAAGCTAAAATAATACATTTTGATGACAAATTCGAATCAGGATTTGCTGGATAAGTAAATGATACAAATTTACGTAGAACTAAAGTAATTGAGTGAATTTTCTGTATCAGAATATCGAAAGTGAATGTTTAAGCAAACCATTGAATGGCCTATAGAAAGCTCGCTGCCTCTATTCGAGTTCCACGAAGCGACTAAATTGAGATTACGGAGTCGAGGCGGAGTAGTGGGATAAAGAATTTACCTTTACACTTTCTGATATCATCAAGATTTGTTATGTTTCCCACAAAGAGCCGTAGTTTATAGATACGATTTTTTTCATATAACTCTATATCTAAATTGAATTTCTCTACCAAGGATTTTGATCTCGCCTTATCCTTTATATTTCCAACATATAAAAAATTTGTATTTTGTTCAGCCGTTTAGCTACAACTTTCGTATTTATAACATTAGCATGATTTATGAAGTTGTGATCCTTTAGTAAAAAGAAATAAAAAACCATTCTTATTTTATTTATAGATATTTCCGTAATGGTTATATTTCTTTCAGTCAAAGAACCAGTTTTCTGTGTGGCTGTACATTTAACAAACACTAAACAAGGTCAGTGGCGCGATGTCAAAGCCAAAACTGACAAGCTGTTAGTAAACAGCGCGAATGAAACGTCGAATGCAGCAAATTAACCTGTCCAAAGTCGAGCACGGGTAGTTACACAAATATTTAGCAACAAAACTCTCATTAAAAATAACAAGAAAATATCAAAATCCATATTACCATACGAAAGATCAGCACAGCATGTACAGATCTTCTATAGACTTCTATTAGCTAATACACCCTCATCAACTTTCCTTTGTCTCTACGGAGGTTCGGTACAGTACTACTGTTCTGCTTCCATACATTTCTATCAGCAGTCATATCTGACTCTACTTCTATCTGCATATCCTTTTTCGCAAAATCCATCCATAATTTTTTCATTCTTCCCCTACCTTTGTAGCTATCCACATTCCTAACACACCGTTGCACCTCATTCCAGTATTAACTACGTAGTAAACGTAACATTTTTACTAATTTCTACATTAACTATTGGGGTTTGGACGTTAACGTGGCCAGTCATATCTTGTGTTGAGCAAAACGTTTAATCGATGGCGCATAGATTGGTTTAATTTATTTCTTTCTAAGTGCATCTAACTTAAATTTAATTATGTACATACCATTGGTTTCATTGAAGGTGCGCGGGAGTCGGGAATCGTTCATGATAGCACACCTTGTCGCTCGCCCTCTGCGGATACATAGAATTTAATCGTATTGATTCTAATTGAGTTTATTTCTAACATTTTTATATATTCCAATGCGTACAGTTTCATAATTTTTGTTTATACCAAGACGAAATGAGGTTTGATAATTATTTTAAATTTCCACAATGATTGTGCGCACACCTGAAGCTATATCGCACAACTATTTTATCAGTTTTTACTATTACTATTTGATCAGTTTTGATTCCCATGAGGTTATATGGAGGTTGGCACTAGATTTTTAATTGTGCAACTAAACAGTTGAATTGTCTGCGAAACAATTGACAATCGGACAATCTTACTCCAAATTTTGGAATCCATCCATTTTATACTTTAATATCACACGAAGAAGTATATTTGAACAATAGCGGCTAGATTGTATCACTTGGCTTTAAAAAGGTCATAGTGACTAAGTTATTTCTCTTCAAGAAGACATTAACGCTCCAACAGAGAATTTAAAGTCGCACTAATGAGGATCATAAAGTCGCTTCGCCCGCAAGCCATGGAGAAATGCATTTCTCATATATTTCTAGGTCACGTTCTGCTTTGTAGCTTACAACAGTCGTGTCTTCGTTAGTGTGCTTGAAATATCTTTGGTATAAAATAACAATTTATATAGTTTACTTCTCATTTTTGTTAGTTTAGTTAAATTATTGACATGATAATTGTAAATCTTTAGTTTTAAATACAAATGTTTTAATAGAAACAGTTGTATTTTTAGATTTTTGTATGTATTGAAATAATTGAAATACTGGACCGATTTAAAAATTCACTATTTAAAATCTAACTTGTCAGTAACAACTACATTTTTTACTATAGTTTTCATTAAGAGATAACTTAAGAACAAATAATTCCTATCTTTTCTTTACAAAAGTATACGGTTAATATGTTTTAATAAGAAATTAGAAGCTAAAATTAACCTTGTGTAATAAAGAATAAGGTTCTGATTATGTTAAAACTAATATAAATTTACAAACCATATTAAAAACAAAAGCAATTACAGACGCGGACACAGCTCATACAAATGCAACAATAAAAACTCCGAGTAATTCTAGTTTAATTAATACTATGCTTTTGCTTTTTATAGAATTAACTGTTTAGATTTTTACAATAAAAACTGAAAGGAAATTAAATTGTAGTTGTTGTTAAGGGAATTCTTAAATATTTATACAAAAAAGTATGTTTTTTTTCACCTTTTAACGTATTGTCTTATTGAAATTGTTAATTCAGAATTTGTAAAACCTCGCAGACGAGGAAGCGATGCTGCTGATAAACATCCGCAATTTCAGATGACTTGCCTACCTTTAATAGACAGCACAAAAAAGTGTATTTCCTATGCGGACACTCCTTCGTTTAAAGAATTTATCAGATATGAAATAATGAAACCACTAGATGCAACAATTTTAACGCCAACTAACTTGTCATTTGGTGACTTTCATGCACAAAAGAGAAAAAAAATTACGACAGTGCAGATAGAATCTATTATTAAACAATAAGTAATATGTTATATGAATAAACTAAAACAGTAATAAATCTGACTAATTTGATTATAACATTAGTGTTATATTGCATACCATAAAAACTATAATAAAAATAAATCTTCGCTAACGATCGTAATAAAGCTCAGTGCAATGCAAAAAGTGCACAAACCAGACATTTTTAGGTTACTGTCTTTTTTGAACAGTTAACAGTTTTATTATTACTTGTAACATCATACTTCATACTATTATTATAAATGCGAAAGTTCAGATGGATGGATGGATGTTTGTTAGAGTTTGTAACGTTAACCGCTGAACGGATTTCGATGAAATATGGTATAGATGTAGAGGATAGTCTGAAGGAACACATAGGTTACTCACCTTTGTTTTTTTTTAATTACACGCAGACGGAGTCGCGACCGAAAGCTAGTACTATACTAAACTGTACCTGCAAGTAGATTAGGTACTAGCTGTTGCTCGCGACTTCGCCCGGGTGAAATTTAAAAATAAGAAAAAATATAGCCTATGTCATTCACAGATAAGTAACCTTTCTAATGGTGAAAGAATTTTTAAAATCGGCCCAGTAGTTTTTACGTTATTTTAATATATACAAAAATACAAATCTTTCCTCTTTATAATGTTAGTATAGATACCCATACATGACGACATTGATAACGACGACATATTCAGAGGTGGAGGATTAGACCGGCCCTCTCACCAGTACCGGTTTACCGTGTAGCCTAGGACTCTAGTACTAGTCTAGGACTAGTATAGATATAGATTAAGCTTGGTTATTTATTAAAAACTATACAGGTGAAATGTCCTTAATCAACACAACCCCTCGATAGGTAGACAAATCATTTGCAGATGTATGTGGTTGTTTCGGCAGATGGATGTATTTGCAGATGTATGGCGGCCGTTTGCTTGTTTGCCACAATATTATAGACACTACAAAACAGAAATCTTTCAAAGTAAACCCGAGTAAATACATCTTAAATATTTGTTTATCTAATTGCAAAGTAAAAGAGTTTGGCTTTACTTGTGAAGTTAAATAATATTCAAGTAAACATTGATGTTATCAAATTGGTTAGTTAATTCAATTATTTGATGAATAGTTTTTGAAGAGTCATGCTTACGGCGGAGCGTGTAAGTTATTTACACGTCATAATGTACTTGGATCACGCAATACGTTAATTTAGGCGGGAAAATAAAATTTGTTTATGGTATATAGTTTGTGTACAATCATTTGAGTCTGAATTCTTTACAGTTTTGTGTTGTTTTATTATAAGTAGATGTAATTTAATATAATACATTACTGCAACTTAGTTTATATTTTTTTAAATAATAAATCTTGTTTTGACATTTTTAAATTATAATCTGTACTTTTATACAAGGACAATATTTTTTAATCTTACTAATATTAATGAGAAAGTTTAGATGGATGGATGTTTGTTAGAGTTTGTAGCCTAAACAGCTGAACAGATTTCGATGAAATTTGGTATAGATGTATAGGATAGTTTGGAAGAACACATGGGCGACTCATGTTTATTTTTATTCCACGCGAACGGAGTCTCGGGCGAAAGTTGTACATATTTGTACAATTTTTACATAATATTTTTATTTAGTTAACCTTAACAATAAGAACAGACCTAGTGTTTAAAAACAGATTGCCCTGTTTACCAAACGACGGATAATTCCGACCCGAGCTTTGAACAGTCTGCGCAAGTAATTATTTTCAAATTGAGGAAATGAAGAAAACGTTGGCTCGCTCTCTCTTTGATTAGAGCAAAGGGGAACGTACGTTGAGTTCTGTTAAATTGAAACATTGGAACGATTCTTATATCAATCCCCACGCAGTGCCTCGGAAACGTTTCTGGTTTTATTGGATTTTTAGTCTTTGACACCTTAAAGGTAGGAATACACGTTAGTAGACACACTTGCACTTACCATTTGCCGCCATATGTAAACGATAACTGTTATACAATTAGCTTGCAAGATTACTGATTTTGTAACATACGAAAAACAAATGATGTCAAAGGCACGTAGTTTGACACTCATACAATCCTTTATTCAATTCTAATTTTTATTTTATTTTACTGTTCCATTTCACTGGCATGTGTATTCTTGTCCTAAGAGTTATATGAATAACAGATTAAATAAGGCTTGAATTTTTCTTATTCCAACAATATGAGCATCATATCTTACTAATAATGCGAAAGTTTAGATGGATGATTGTTAGAGTTTGTCATTGTAGAACGGATCTCGATGTAAATTGGCATAGTTGTAGAGCATAGTCCGGAAAATAGGCTGGTGCTGCTTTTTTTTAAATCCCAGCAGAAGAAGTCGCCGTAAGTTAGTCGTTGAATATATCAAATAATCGATAAGTATAATAAATTCTACATCAACTTGTACCTTATATATCGTCGATATCAATTCTATTGCCTTGAGAATATCGCCGAGGGTGGCGCTACGAGACAGTACGTTCAGGTGTAGAAGAAATCAATACGTTAGAAAAAGTATGTTACTATGACAAAACTGTGTTCAACTTCACAGACCAGGTTTCGCCCGCGACTCCTTTAAAAATTAAAAATCAAAGCAGTCTGTGTGTTCTTCCAGACAATGTTCTACGTCAAGTCAATTATTTTTTATTTATTTATAAAAAAAAAAGTATATTATAAATAAAATAGAGCACCACCGGCTGCGGAATCCGATGACTCAAACAACCAGTGGTGAGGGCTGCAGAGACAGGAACCTCCTCACTATTCGTGCGATTTCTAAAATAACCGCCTTTTGAATCGGGCCCTTAATCCAACCGTCTAGCGAGAGCTTCTTGAGGTTTTTATTTACTATAATTAATTTATACAAACATCTATACAAATAATAAATTAAATAAGTACCCCTTTATGCAATATAATGAGTACAAATGCAGCGAATCAAATATTTGGGAATAACAACATAAAGCACCTAATGTTGAGTGCAAAATACAACCTCTTTGGCTGACAAGCAGTATTTATACAGCCAAAGAGGTTGCATACTGGCCACCAAGGCAATAATCGTTTGTAAAAGAAAATATAAAAATGAAGAAGTCAAGAATGTGATCGACATCGTTTCGAGTTTTAAGTTTTTGTATATTTTTTTGTGTAAAATCAAGTCAAGTCAAGGGTTACACTTTAGTTTTAATGCTTAGAGTTACAGAAATATTGAGTAGAAAGCTTTTTTTTATTTTTTTTTAAATACATTTAGAAAAGTTTTAAACAGTTATTGGAGCATACTTTTAAGTATAGAATAAAACTTGATTTATTGAAATCCGTTGAACTGTTTAGGCGGAAAACTCTAACAAATATCTAACAATGTAAACTCTCCCATATATCTGATGCATTTGTTTCCAATGTAAACAGTTACATCACTAAATGTAAGAACATGTATTTATTTTCATATAATTCCTTCAAAGTGCTAAATAAAAATGGCTTTTTACTAAGTAAATGTTTTTAAATGCTTTAGAAATGTAA